ACCATTGTTTCATTTATTTATTGACTTCAATATGATATGTCTTCATGACTGGGCTGGCAACTCTTGGGAATAAACAAAAAAACAAAAAAACCCCTCTTGTTTTCTTGCAGTTATGTTTTTTATTCACACTGCTAGCAATGGCATGCCTCAGCGCATTGTATATACACAACTAATACTCACTTGACTTGCCAGACGAATGAATGACACTTGAAGTATCAGCTTTGTGTTGACCTCTTTTTTCTCCACTACGTTACTCTAAATCCTATCCCTAATTAGATTTGATTGGGTTTTTAATAAAGGAAAAAGAAAAATCTTATCTTCCATAAACACTTAGAATGCCACATAAATATATTGCATTTAAATACAGAATATATATATATATATATATTCTGTATTTATATATATATATATAATCAGAAGTGTCTTGGTCTTGTTTCTCTAGAGAACCCTGCCTAACACAACCCTCAATGAGATGGATTGACACAGGGGCTGCAACAATGGACTTAAACATAGCAGCAGTTGTAAGGGAGGCACATGACCAGGCAGCATTTTATACAGAACTGACTTGAAAGAACCTACCAGCAATATCAAGGAAGCCCGGTGGCACTGTTGGATAAGCTTTGGGCAGCGAATCTCAATATTGGTAGTTCAAACCCACCAGCTGCAGTTCAGGAGAAAGATGAGGCTGTCTGCTCCCATGGAGATTATAGCCTTCAGAAACTAGGCAGTTTCACTGTGAGTTAAAATGGACCCAGTGGCAGTGGGTAACAACAACAATATTGTTTGGCTGCCATTTTTATCATTTTTTCCATTTCATGTTTATAATCATTTGGTTTAATGAGTATGTTTATGTTCGACATGCAGGAAAACATAGGTAACTTACATGGCAATTCTGAGACACCACCTAAGAACTGCATTCCCACGAAACCAGTGTTGCATCCAGTTCTGTCTTCCCTGCTGCCTTTGTGCTATTCTTTTCCTTGCTTTATATTTCATAATTTCATCCATATATTTTTGTTCCTGAGCAGTATATTATCTAATTTGCTTGCTAGCTTTATGAAAGTGCTGTTGTGCTCCGTGTAATTCTCTGTGGCTTATTTTATTTATTTATTTTACTTAACGGTATGCTTCCAAGATTTCTCCAGGTTGTTATATGTACTTCTATTTCATTCATTTTCTGGGCTCTCTAATACTTCACGCTGTGAACATGCCACCATTTATTTGTGCTGCCTTCTGCTGATGGACCTTTGGGTGGTATCCCTTGTTACTTGCCATGATCTACAAAGTGGCTTTGAATATTTCTGCTCCTGTTTCATAGACACGGGGAACCAGCAGCTGTATCACTTGGGCGATTCTTAGAAATGCAAACACACAGGCTTCATGCCAGACCTATAGAACCAGAATACCCAGGGCTGGGGCCCCGACAGGGTGTGGTTCTCTAGATGAAGTTTGAGGTGCACTGTTCTAGAATGTATACCTAAGAATAGAAGTTTTATGTCATATACAGGTATCCAAATATTCAAATTTATAGGATCATATCAAGCTCTTTTCCAAATGTGTCTAATGATTCTAATTTATACCGCTTCTGTCATTCGGAACTAACTTGATGCCAGGAGTCCAGTTTGTTTGTTTTTGTGTGGACACTCCCTCTAAAAGTATCTGCTCCCTCTTGATCCACATCCTTGCTAACACCTGCTAGTTGAGACTATGTGTCAATCTAGTGAGTGTCTGAAGTCTAGCTTTCTTTTCGTGTGTTGCTTCAGAAATTCTTTCTTATGTCTAGGCCATAATGATATTCCATATTTTCTGTACAACACTTAAACTTATTTCCTTTCATGGTTAAGTCTGATCCTAATTTTAGTTGAT